TGTCCCCAAAGCTGCCGCTCCTGTCGCCCACGACTTACAATATAAGTTACTGAGGCAATTAAGTCCGCAGCATAGCAACAGTCGAAGGTGTGGCCATGTTCATTGAATCAGAGTTAAAAGTTTGCTTCATTTAAGATCCGCTGGATATACTGGAATATATGGAATATATATGATTGTGTGAGCTGATCTCATTTCAAACTTGGACAGGTTTATCGGTGTTGTTTGGCCAGGTCAAAATCAGCTATTATTTTGTGTCCAAACCATTTCAAACTCATTAAAAATTGATTGACAATCACCCACCCACACAAACAGCAATCTGTAACTATGGCCAGCAATCTAATTGGAGACTTTATGGCCAACAACACACGTTTTGATGTGTTCCCGTCCCCGTCCCCGTCCCCGTCGCCGTCTGTCCCGGAGGGACATGGACAGATATGTAGATGGAGAGCTGCGAAAGCTGACCAGGGGAGCAATTCCGCTGCATGTTTGATGATTTCCACGTTGCTTACACAGTCAACAGCACGGCACACATGTCGGCTTTGTGATGGGCACGGTATGGCACGGAAGACAAAGCCCGAGTGTGACATAATTAAACGCCGCATCCTGTCGCCGGGCTAATGAGCAACAGAACGAGATAGATGCAGAGAGAGTGAGTGAGAGAGTAAGGGCTTTTGCTCATTTTTCGGGGGATGCTGCAAAGTAGGTTAATGGGAAATTATGGAGCAAGGAGCAGGAGAACGAAGGAGGTCTGTATATGCATTTTAAATGATTTCATAAATAGACAATCTGTTTAATTTAAAGCAGCACCAGAAGAGAGTGAGAAAAAGGGGGAGAGAATGAGGGAATGAGAGAGAGGGAGCACCAGGAAATGACCAGGGCAACACTAGGACGGGAGCGTAGGGGCAACAGCCTGACCCTAATGACAGGAAATTGTGCGGTCAATCACGCACAATCTCTCACGCACATAGAGACAGCCACAAAAACAAATCATTTTGGCCACAAAATCATCGTCAGGCCAGCTGCCAAGCCAAGCAGCCTGGCACATTTGCTTTCTATTTCCATAATTGAAAGTCAAATTGAGGCGCAAGAACTTCCAACTTTCGAATCGAATTCGCAGATGCGAGCAATTAAGACTCGCACTTGGACGAGCACATCCTCCTCCTTGATCCCAGCCAGACAATCGCATCATCAGTCTTCTGCAGGCATTTGTCTCCTTCACGCGCAGGACATAGCACGCACACGACATGCCATTGGGTGAGGGCGAGACGAGCAGAAGCAGAAGCAGAGGCGCATTTAGTAAATTAAAAGTGAATTTATTGCTCACTAAATGCAGCAATTGCCATGTGCATCCTTTGTGCTCGTATCCCATCTTGCTGCAGTTCGAGTCCTCTGCGAAATGCCCTCGAGTGCGTGTTTGTTTGTCCGCTTAGGTGGGTTTGCTTAATCTTTGACAAGCAGCCAGAGGTCGTTGCCACAGCCAGAGCCAGAGCCACAGCCACTCGGGCAATCAGAGCAAACAATGCACGGGTCGGGATAATCATGTGCAGGATCTGGATGTGCTTGTGCGAGTGACTCTGGCTGAGGTTAAGGCTGAAGCTGAGGTAACTGTACCCGGGAATACCAATTGGCCGAACGTGTCCTGGATGCCTGCAGAAAGAAATGTAGAATCTGTGTTCAAACGCGGCAAAGCTGTTGGGCTAATTAATTATATCACTACTGAAGAGAGAGAGACTTGGAAAATTGCGGAAATTACTCTCGGGAGAACAAAGTTGAAGTGCTCTGTCAACCCACTTAGGCTAAGGTTATTCACAATTTTCAGAATCTTCCTGGAAGGATTCCATTAGATGGTCCTACGACGAGAGCGCGTGACTACATTCTCTGATATGGATACGACACCGACAACTGTTGTCAGTCAGAAGAAATACTTCAAGGAACCCTAGACCACCCCCACGCACATCCATCAGGAGCTCCGTCCCAAGAAATGATATATGCACACCCCGCTGCTACTTGTGGAACCTCTGGCTAATACAGTTCCATGCAAAGTGCTGCAGTTACAGACAACTTCTTAGCCGTTTGGCTGCGCAGTGAGCCCCTTAAAATTGGCAAAACAGCCCAGAAGTGCACGCCGGCAAAATAAATTGGTAATTGCATGCGGCATGGCTGGCATTTAATGAAACGAAACAGGACATGCAAATGGGAATGGGAATGGCAAGAACAGATCCTGCTTGCTCTGGTGTTCTGGTGCTCTGGTGCTCTGGTGCTCTGCCTCCTGTCGCCTGCCGGGCCGGTGACATAATGAATAGGATTTTGGGTTTCTGCGGCAACGGCAAGTGCCACATCTCGACATGAGCTGCTTGTTGAGGCAGGACGACTCCTCTGCCAGGGCAACATTGCAATTTGCACCAGAGCCAAAAAGGATATGCAAAACGATAGCGCGCAGACAGGGCTAGCAGGAGAGCAGAAGGCGGAGCTGCAGCAGGAGGAGGCAGGAGGGCAGGCATGGAAACAGATGTTGCATCTTTGTTGAAAAGCAGCCAATTTGGAGCTCGCCTCGCCGAAGATAGACATGGCAGAGTGACAAAAATTTAATATGGAAGCCGCCTCAGAAAGAGGCGTGCAAGCGGAAAACAAAGACCCACAAAAAAGGAGTCGTGAGAGCGCGAGACGAGAGCAAAAAGGCGAACAGAATAAACGGGAAAATAATCGGCGCACAATGCATTGGCAATGAGCCAAGGCTGCACACGGCAACGGCTTCACAAAGAGACAGAGAGAGAGAGTGAGAGAGAGAGAGAGAGAAAGAGGGTCTGTCCGTGTCCGTGTCCATGTCTGTGCTTGCCTTTGTTTGCTATCGATAAAATTGTGGTCGGGACATGGGCATGGGCCAGCCGATAAAGCCGCTTGCCAGCAACGAAAATGGGCGTAACAAATGAGGACAGGTGAGAGCTCAAGGGCGTTTACGGGGCCAGTGGGAGGGGCAGAGGGGACATGTAAAAATTAATTAAGCCCCACACTCGCGAACACCATATATAAAGGACGCAAGCTAATTGAGGATATGGCACAGAGATGGGTAATTTCTACACCGAATGACTAGACCACCGCACTCAAACACGAAATTCACAGTGGATTGGCCAACAGTTGGAACAGTTTTCGAGATGGGGGCTATCGATTGGCTTCCCCTCCGCATCACCCTCCCCTTCCTTCAAATAGAACGCTTCAAAAAACGACTGTGTTTGCCTTTGTCTCCTCAAATGTCCACACAAAACTTTCAATTACAGCCTAGTGTCAAAGTTCAACAAACAAACCAAACTGAATCGTGGGGCGGCTGCTCTGCTGGGGGCGGGGCACTAGAGCCCCGACGGCCAGCCCGGGCAAACATTTCAATTTGCCTGCCGACAGCCAGCCCCAGCTGACAAAAGCCAAACAACACACAAAAAGCGGCAGAAAAGAAGCGAGAAATCGAGTGCGGATTGGCCCACAAATCGGACAAATAGTGGCAAAAAATGTTATCGAGCAGAAAAACTGAGTACGGGACGGCAGAGTGTAGGCCAAAACCGCCATTTCATATCCTGTGCGAGGCGGATGTGACAGCGAACAACTGAGCGCCAAATCCAGGCTCTGGAAATCGTTCTGGCTCCAGCAGAGGGGACTGTCAGGGAAGCCTATCCCTATTCCCATCCCATCCCTATCCCAGTTAGTCATGCATTTGCAGCATATTAGTTTACAGCCAAATATTCATCCAGTTACATTCGCAGGTGTTCTGGGCAGGCCAGGCTTGAAATCCCGAGCTGCAGGAAAAGCCAAAGCAAATGGAAGCGCATGGCGAACGCGGGAATCCGCAGCAGGAGGCGCCCACCCCCCGGAACCATCGATGGGGCAATCAAAATAACAAAATTGCAAAGCGCTCGCAATATTTGTTTTCTATCTATTCATGTGTGTATGGGTGTGGCTATGGATGTTGCACAGAATTGCGAGCAGCAAACAGGATCGCAAACATGTCCCAAATGCCAGGCAAAAAATCAGCAAGGAACGGATAGAGTTGTTGAAATGTTTGTCTACCCTGGACCAATGTAACAACATAAGGGGAAACTAAAACTTAAAAGGAGCAGAGCGCAGAACTATCCACAGCACTGCGCTCCTCTCCAAACCTAAGCAAAACCAATCCCCGAGTATCTGCAAATATCCTCTTCAGTTGATCTGTAGGTCCTATCTTTGCTTCAAATATGGCTTTTAATTGAAGAGAAAATAAATAAATACAAATAAATACACTTTGCTTTGCAGAACTGACTGCAATAAAACCATATTTCAATTAAGCTACGAAAAATATCCAAGCAATTCATCCAATCGTTAGAGCGATTTTCTATCATAATAGCAAATCATTGAAAGAAACAAAAAATTCTCCAAGAAAATTCCTTAAAATCAAATACTAAGCAAATTTCGAATGATTGAATAAATCAGTGGTATCTCAGCGGAATCTTCTTTACCAACATTTAATTTTCAAACATTTTTTTGGGAACATGCTCGCAGAGCTTTTTATTTTGATGCTATTTTTAAAGTGAATATTTCCGAATTTATTGCGGGTGGGCAGTAATTTGATTTACACCAGAAAAATAAACATAAATAAGAACCACACAAAAGAGGGGGTTTTACATACATACATATACATATGTACTAATATACGTGAAATATAGCATGCCTGGCGATGGCTGCGCTGCCCTGATTCTGCTTACAAATAAAATATTTATTTTATAAATATTATTTCATTATTGTCGTGTGCAAGTGCCGCAGTTTCTTTCTGGGGGCTTATTGGCGTAGAAAATTTAATTAAAATGTGGCCAAAATGGCAAAAGCACCACCACTTATGCACTTATCTGTGATTTTAGGTGCAGTTGCAGCAGCAACCAGCACCTTGCCACACAATAAAGTTTTCATCTTGCTTTGAGCTCTGTAAGACGTACCCCTCCGCTGTGTGGGGGATACAAATTAATTATACGCGCCGGAAGGTGGACAAAGGATAGGGGACAATGGACCAGGATAAAGCGCATTTCGCATAGAATTTTATGGCTTTTAGATTTAATTAAAATTCACTCAACTTTGTATTCGTCCCTATCTTTCCATCTATGTACGAGTATATCTAATTTTGTATGGTCTGAACATCTTCAGGGGAAGCGGACCTCTTTTCACGGCGGTCTACCAGTAGAGAAGCAGCAAGTAGAAGGTCCCCTGGCTGAGGAGTATCAAAAGAACCAATAAAAAAACAACCAAGATCCAAGTCTGGGGAATCGAAGGAGGAGCAGGTCGTTGAGGCAGAACATAGGAGGACCTCACCACTTACAGCCATCCAGTTCCGGGCCACATAATCATCCAGTCTGCGCCGGCAGAGCGGACAGCGCTCGGCCACCCATCCGCGCGCCTCGCGGTATTTCTGCAAGCAGCCCTTGCAGAATGTGTGACTGCACCGTAACTTGACCGGGTTCCGTATCTGTTCCAGGCAGAAGGCGCAGACCTCCCCATCCTCAGCCCCATCCGCATCCCCATCCGGATTATGGATCGAGGAGGAGGTGCCAGTGCGTTGCCGTTGCCGTTGCAGCATGATGGTGATACCGCTGCTGCCTCCTTTCGTTTAGATGTAAATGTCTGTCTTTGTTCTGTCTTTTCATGTGTATTAATGTTGGTCTTCTTAGGTTTTGTGTTTGCTGTGTTTCAATTTGAATGTAATACTAAAAATGTAGATACTCCTTTGACACGAAAGCCAGAGAGCAGGAGCAGTATCATGAGCAGGAGCTGAGGGAAATTCCGTTTTAATTAAAATTCGCCGCTATAAATCGGACCGGAAAACACCTTAAGCCGTGAGCAGGACTCCTACTCCTACTCCTACTCCTACTCCTACTCCTACTCCTACTCCTACTCCTACTCCTACTCCTACTCCACCTCCTTCCCCTGCCCCTCCGACGCGGCCCAATCAAATTTAATTACATCATCGCTGCCGCAACTCGAGCGGCAAGCATCGAATGCAATTAGTAGTAGCCTTGTAGAACTCAATTAGACGCGGGGCAAGGCAGTCTGCCAGGAAGGGAGGGAGGATGGGGCTTGGAGGCCAAGTGATTCCTTGCCATGTGTCGCAGCGGCCCATCCTTATCCTTTGGCGCGGTGCAAGTCCTTGGCGTGGCAGGACAACGCTTTGCACTTTGAGGCAAACGACCGCAGAGCAGACGACAAAAATCGAACTTCACAACTACTTTGGCCACATCAAGGAGCTGGATGGTGATGGCGATTACTCCAACAAGGTTTTTAATTAAGTTCAAGGCATACAGGCAGACAGGCAGGCAGGCACTAAAAGTCACATCTCATCCGTGTGCCCTCTGTGTGTAACCATCCCATTCCATCCCATCCCATCCCATCAAAGCCAAAGCCAAAGTCCGTCTAACAAGCAGCTGACAAATTGAATCACTGCTGCTTCAGCTGTTGCCGCGCTCTCAAGTTTTCTGCTTTGTAATTTACCATCTATGTATCCAGCGACTCCTCAGAGCCCACTGCACACACACACATTATTAACGCCCTCAATCCGTGTTGGCCAATTACATCACCATATAAAACGAGTTTACCCTTTCCACAGTCCCCTTTCACTCTGTCCCTCTGTCTCCCTCTTGCTCTGCTCTGCATTTGCATCTTCAAGTTGATTAAAAAGTTGCCAATTGCATGACCATCTGCAGACCCTCCCGTGCATCCCCAGACCCCAGCAGATTCCGGCATTGAATTCAACTTGATTGTTTATTGTTTGGCATGCAGAAATTGTTTGTGATTGTTGCTGCTCCTGCTGATGCTACTGTTGGAAGGAGCAGGGCAGAGGAAAAGTTTTGCCTCCTTTTGGCAATTTGTTAAATTCCCAACTTGAATTAATTTGCCAGAGTTTCTTTAATTATGTTTATATCTATAAAATGCCCGAGCATTTGTCGAGTTCGAGACACTCGCCGGCAGTTCTAGGGGGAAGTTTTCTCGAGCCTTGAACTGTTCTACTACTGCCAGGTGCACGATTCTCCAACTGTTAGTACTGTTAGACCCGAGAAACCCAAAGACAAGCCAACAGAAAAGCTGGGAAAGTTCGCCAAAGCGGAGAAACGGCCAGAGAGGTAAAGTTTTGCAAGAGATTCCTTCTGTTATTTGCTTAAGGAATTAAAAGGGAATCAGGAAAATGCTGATTATCCGGAAATAAATGTTTGGTAGGAGAGAGAAATTAATGGACACAGCAGATACATATATCTGTTTCAAATCACATTATAAAACATTTTTCATACAAATCTGATTAAAAATGCTGTTAAATTATTCCTTATTAATTCCCCACCACCTACTTCTCCACGAGGTGTCTCCAGTGCATGCCACCCACTGCTTCCGCTGTTTCTAGTGCGGTTTCCACTGCGCTAATGAGCTTTCCTACCGGACACGGACCGCGGACCACGGACCACGGACCATGGAGCTCAGCTCAGCTCAGCTCAGCTTCGCCTTTAGCTCACAAAACAGAGCCAAGACAACAGCAACAATGGATAGCTGGATCTGTATCATGGGTGGCTAATGGGCTAACGTGACACCAAATGAATCATGGGACTGGAACTGGAACTGGTTAAAACTGAAACTGGAACAGACGCAGAAGCAGCAGCCCTGCGTTAGTGGGTTAATATTTCACCGGAGGTACAGAGGAGCAAAGGAGCAAGAGAGCAACGGAAACGGATGTTTCGCCCGGCCAGATTTCCTGCCGAAGGCGATTTCTCCGAACAGACAAAGCCCTCGTAATGCCCTCCATTCCAGAGGCGCCTTATTTAATGAGGTTCGCAAGTCTCTAATTTCTAGTTCTGTTGCTCTTTCTGCCCCACCACGGGTCCCCCAGCCACTCTGCCACTCTGCTGCTCTGCTGCTCACCTCTGCTTATTTAGCAATTAGTTGAAGTTTTCCCTCGCTTTGCATATCCTCCCAGTGCCAACTAAATGTACGACTAATTAGCAGAAAAGTCTACTAAATTGAAATGAATTATGAAAATTGCATCTGCAGCTGTGTCTCAGGTGAACTGAAGGAGAAGGAGTGGGGCAAGAGGAAGCGTGCAAGGACGAGGACGAAGCACAACTTGCAGAAGAAGATGCCGCACTCCGTTACACTCAGCTCAAGCCCCACTGGATCCTCTTAGGACACTCGACTCGCATCTTGTTGGCCTGGCATTGAGTGGCCTTATTTTGGCATATAATGGCTGCTGCACAACAACAGCAGCAACAGCAGCAGCAGCAGAAGCAGCAACAGCAGCGCCTCCACATTATGGGTCTCAGACAATGAGGACAAAAGGCCATTTACTTGCCTTTGAGGCGTGCACCGAGGCCTTCACCCACTTCAACTCAGTGCAGTTCACTTCACTGGGCGACCGCACATGCATGCAGGCAGGTGGATGCATCCCCCCATCTGCTACCCCAGCCGTATCCTTTTAGCCATCTAAAGGATGGGGCCAAAAAGAAGAATGAAGGCCGTAATTCAGCTAAAATGCACTCTGCACCCACCCTCTGCCCCATCCCCGGCTACCCCGTAGAGGCAGGACGCTTTGTTGCCTGCTCGGATCCATCGCACTGTTCATTTTGTTGATGATGTGGTTGGTCCTTGCACAGAGATGGGACAGGATCAGGTGCGGGATAATTGGAAAGTAGGTTGCACATTTAGTTGCATTGTCTGAGCAGCCACTCTGCCACAGCACGCACCGAGCAATGCATTCCATAAATCATCCATCCAGTGGCAACACTTTTCTTGCCGCCAATTTGTCAGACGATTTGAAATATTAACTGGTCCAGTCGAGTCGAGCTTAGCAATTTGTTTAGGTTCTATCGTAAATTAAGTTAATATTTTTCCGACAGCGGAGGATAAGCGCGGTGGGGCGGTGCGGCGTTGCGGCGGTGCGGCAGGAGCAGCCAATTGGAAAGCCTGTGATATCAACGGGGCTTTCGACAATTCAATTGAAAAACTGGCAAATACATTTGCCGATAGCCAAAACTAAAAGATTGTTGACAGCTCGTTACAGCAACAACAATGGAGAGGAGAGGCAGACAGCCCCAGAACGAGGCAGAGCAGGACTCTGGGCAATGAAAACTATGCAAATGACATGCAATGGCTGGGAAAACTTTCAAAAGCCAGCAGAGCAGCCGGAACTTGGAGGGAGATGGGATTGAGGCTGCTGCAAGGATAGCTGAAAGGAGCAGAGAGCTCCATCCGTACATTCGAATAGGAGTACATACAAGTATGTGTATGTTTATCAAGTTTTTTGGGGCGAATGGCATTATGCAAAGTTGAGCGATTTGGGATTGCTTTAATAGATAAGCAATATGGTGGGGCTTCGTCTGGAGCTGCATTTTGGGAAGCACAAATTGGGATAAACATATATGTACATATTTCGATGGATATTCCAGGTTAAACAGAACAAATTAGAATCCCAGATCCCAAGGGTCATCAGTTGCAGTGGTAGTGGAAATTCTACTGACAATTACCAAGATTATACCATGAAACATGAAGGACTTTCTTAGAATTCCCCTCCCATTCCATCCCATCACTCTTGACTGCCATAATTTCGGAAAAATTCATCATGTAATTTTTAGTATTCATATTTAAAGTCCTGCCTGGGCCACACTCTGCCTTTGGAGCCTCTTCCGTTCCCCGCACCAACAAGCCCCAGCCTTCTCCAGTGCAAACTTGAATCATAAAACAAGAAGAAACCACGAAACAGTTCCCAACACTTTCAGGAACTTGAGGACAGGACAGGACTGAGAATACTTCTCTGGACATTCTCTTTCACTCTTCTATGCATTAATTCCTACCTTTTATAATGCAAAAATGAAAGAAATAAGGTGCACTTACCTCACTCCCGCTGCCACCACTCTCAGCCCATCTAAAAACAGTCGGAGAGGGAGAGCGAGTGGAGCTAAGAAGGGAGAAGAGCATAAAGCAAAGCAAATTCCAAGCATGCCATAGCGATGGCGACTACGTCGAGGACTGGCACTCGACGAGGATGAGGAGGACCATGACGACGACGACGACGACGACGGCGTCAAGAGCAGCCCCGAAAAAAACACTGAAAATGGCGAATTTTTTGTTTGTTCAAATTCTCCTTCTTCTTCGTTTCTTGCTCGCAGAAAAACAAAGACCGAGCTCCAGCCTTGGACTTGGATAGCAGAACATTTTGTTTAAAGTTGCTCTGGCATCCCCCCAGATGCTAGCCCCCAGTCCGCAGCCCCCAGCCCCTAATTGTGGAAATGAGCGAGCGTGGATTACTTTGCTTTGCTTACAGTTGCTTATAAAATGGAGTGCCCTGGCAGCGCGTACTCCGACTCCCCAGCAGCACTGTATGCGCAACAACAATTGCCATTGCACTTGAGCAGCGAGCAGTACGTTTACTTTATTATTGCAAGCTTTCTTTCTGCTTTCCCTGTGCTTTCTTCCTGCAGCCCCTGTAATGGCTGTCAGCTTTGCTCTTGGCTTTTTCGCTTTACTTCACATTTTTCTAGTTTCGTTTCATTGTTGTTCCTCTTTTTGCTCATCCTCGATTGGTGACCGAGCAGTATTCCCTCCAACAGGCAAACTAATTTTTTGATTGGAGGAGAACAGAGATGAGTCAAAGGGCAGGCA